AGGCGATTTTGGCTTGTCCTGTGAGTTCGAACCGAATCAAATGCCGCGTGGTGTTCAAGTGCTGGGGCTTCCGGTAGCAGGTTTAGGGTTTAGGGGTTTAGGGTTTAGGGGTTTAGGCTTTAGGGTTAGGGGCCTGAATAAGTAGAATAGGGTTTTGGGGATGTTCTTCTACTATAACTATAGCAAGGAACCTTTAGAATAGTATAGGTAATTCTTTAAGCCCCTGTATCAAGCAAGAAACCCTGAGATCCTACGCCCTGCACCCCACATCCTTACACCCTAAACCTCGGTTTAGGGTTGAGGGTTCAGGGGGCTCCTTGAACCCTGAAACCTTGGCTTCGGGTTTAGGGATCAGGGTTTAGGCTTCCTTGAACCCTAAACCTTGGGTGCGAGTTTCGCGCTCCTTGAACTCTAAGCCTCGGTTTAGGGCTTCGGGTTTAGGGTTTAGGGTTTAAGGTTTAGGGCGTAGGGTTTGGGGTTCAGGGTTCAGGGTTCCTGGAACCCTCGACCCTACAACCCCAAGCCGAATTCCTGAGCAAAGAAAGCCCAGCGCACCTCCGTCCACCGCTGCCCCAGGTACCCCAGCATGTAGTTGGTGACCTTCAAAGAAAGGAGCTTGGGGTAGACTACTTAACACTGCGAGGTTGTCCAGGTGTTTAGGGCGATGCTTTGGGTCCTGCGGGACTGGCGGCAGTTTGGAAAGGTTTAGGGTTTAGGGCTTCGGGTAGCACTCCGAGAAGCCCTGGACACCTCTGACTTTTTTGCGCACTTCCGCGCTAGTCTGCAGGGTGGAGCTCAATGCTCCAGGACGTCCCCAGCCTCACCTGGGCGCTGGTTGAAGGTAAGACCCCACCGGCACATAAGATCTGCATAGCCCGCACCCATCCTTCTAACCGCGCGCACCCCTGTAAAACCCTCGAAAACTCGCTGCAGCCCTACCATGAAACCCCTAAACACCGAGCACCTATATCCCTAAACCCTAGACCCTAAACTCCTGAACCCCAAAACCCTCGCGACTAAAACCCTAAACCCCAGAGACTGAACCCTAAACCCTAAACCCCCAAATCCCTAAACACCTAAGCCCTAAACCCAAAGTCCCTAAACCCTAAACCCCCAAACCCCTAAACCCCTAAGCCCTAAACCCTAAACCCTAAACCCGAAAACCCTAAACCCCCCAAACCCTAAACCCCTAAACCCCTAAACCCCCAAACCCTAAACCCCCAAACCCCTAAACACTAAAACCTGAACCCCTAAACCCTAAACGCTAAAACCCTAAACCCCTAAACCCCTAAACACTAAAACCTAAACCCCTAAACCCTAAACGCTAAAACCCTAAACCCCTAAACCCTAAACCCTAAACCCCTAAACCCCTAAACCCCTAAGCCCCTAAACGCTAAAACCCTGAACCCCTGAGCCAACCCAAAGAAGAGACCAAGTCACGAGCGGCTCCTTCACGGTGACCACTTTCAGATCTGACTCTGCCATGGACTCCACCTTCCGGGGCTTTGGGTTCGGGTTTAGGGTTTAG